TTTTGATAATCATGTGTGTCATTAATGGATGTAAGCCAGTCTTGACTCATTCGTAAGTCTGATATGACCGTGGAAGCCTCAGGAAAGGATCTTACTGCAGCAGTGTGCTGGTAAATTCAAATAATGGAGTGGCAATACAAAAATGCAAATTGGGATCCTTCCCACATGAAGGCAAACTATGGTTGACTCTTTTGTAAGACTGTGATCAGGAAGAAAACATTTGCAAAATTTCTTTCTTTTTTTTTTTTTTACACTTATTCTTGACTCATTCGTAAGTCTGATATGACCGTGGAAGCCTCAGGAAAGGATCTTACTGCAGCAGTGTGCTGGTAAATTCAAATAATGGAGTGGCAATACAAAAATGCAAATTGGGATCCTTCCCACATGAAGGCAAACTATGGTTGACTCTTTTGTAAGACTGTGATCAGGAAGAAAACATTTGCAAAATTTCTTTCTTTTTTTTTTTTTTTACACTTATTAAACCATATCAGGGACTACTGATGCTGTAGACTATACCATGTACTTCATCCAAGCCTAAATCATCTACTACTTGTCTCTCTTTCATGGGCCACAAAGCACTTTCATGTAGACAATATATTGCTACCAGTCCTTCAACTTCCACCATGTCATTAATTAAAGAAATAGTCTCTTTTTGACCATTAGGAATTCAATACTGTTTCAAATTAACCAACTCTGTGGGCTCAAGCAAGGCTACAGATTTAAAAAACAAAAAACCCAATTATTAATGGCTGAAAGGCAAACTTATTTGACTTCAGTTTTATGTTATTTATTTATTTTAGACAGATTTTTGCTATAGGGTGCATGTACTCACTGGAGAGACAGAAAGCAAGAAATCACACCTGGGGGAGATGGTCATGCTGCAATTGCTTCTCCTCCATTCTCCTCTCAGGATCTTGGGGATGCAGGCACATGTGTCTGGTGTGAGTTTTAGGCCTCTATGTCCAGGACTCAAACTGGTCAGCCATGTGGGAATCCAGTGACGTAACCATGACACCATCAGCTGGTCTTGCCTTCAGTTTTATGTTTTAGGTATGGGACATGATCCTCAATCAGACATAATGTTCATCTCACTCATGCTTTCAAGGAGGGTCACTCTTGATGCTTAGTGGTTAAGGCAATCAGATCCCACATGACTAACCACAGTTCAAATCCCAGTCCCAGCAGCTAAAAAAACATGCCAGACACATGTGTGTGTGTAGGTGGATGTGTTTAAGTGCTCAAAATCCCAACATGATGGAGAAATGGAGGAGAAGGGATTGTGGAGTGACTGTACCTGGTTGAGAGGTGCTTTCTTTCTCTCCCTCCTTCTATCTCTCTCTATTTCTAAGTGTACCTGCCCTTTTGAAATTAAAAATATCATACTTCCAGGTAGGGGAGATACATTCACTCCATGGAAAGTCAGTTCCAACATTTCAATTGTCATCCAGACCTATACCATCATTCCATCAGTTTTTATTCCCAGCTACTTATTGCTTTGTTAGAACCTCACCAGCAGAGTTTAAAATCACAGTGCATTGGGACCCTGTGTCAGGGTGTCCCAGAAGTTCTCCACTCACGGCCATTTTAACCACACACATATGTGCCCTTGGGTCTTCAGCTGAACATTAAACCAAGGGGCCCTGGCTCCGTCCTTAGTTTTATTAATATACCTTTTACATTATCCCCAGGGATTTGAGATCAGGTTTCTGTTGTTTCATTTTTGTCTTCTGGCTTTTGAAGTTCCTCTAGACTAAGATAAACGGTAGATTTGTTTAGGGTCATTCAGTGGAACACCAGCAAGGGCTCTTGTCAGTCTACCCAGCCTCTTAACACCGCTGCATTAATACCTTTGTTTTGACCCGTCCATGCCCCCTCTATTCATTCCAGTCTTGGTATTTAAAATTTCCATTCTGCTGTGACAAGTTTCTTGACTCTTCACCTCCTTGGCTTATTGTAACTCTTGGCACTTGTGACTTGAAAAATCACACCAGGTGCATGTGTGTGCATGCTCAAAATCCTGGCAGGATGGAGAAGTGGAGAAAAAGGATTTTAATGCAACCATGCCCTATTGGGGAGTGGATGTGCATTCATTCTCTCTCTCTCTCTCTCTGGTGAGTGCACATGCCCTCTAGAAAATGAATGAATGACTATCTCCAAGTGACTCCAACATACAGCCAAGTTTAGAGTCATTGATCTATTTGAACTGCCACTTCCTTTCACCAGAAATCCTGGGTAGAAACAGGAAGCCCTGGAGGATATCTCTATCCCAACACACACCTGAGGCTGAGCAAGATTAGGGGCACTGCCCAATCCAAAAGGGAGCTGTGGTTGGAAAGTGGGTATCCCTGTGGGCTAATGTCAGAAACGCCCAGTAGAAAGGGAGGAGTTTCTAGTTTTTAAGCTTTAGAATCAGTTCATAATGGGTAGTGTTATGGGCAAGTCCTTGAAGTCAGATAGAGCTGGTTTGAAAATACTGGCTGTCACTTTCTGGCTGTGTGACCTCAGGTAAGCTATGTAACCTTTGTACTTCATGTGCCTTTGTCTTTCAAGATAGGGATGAGACAGTAGATGTGCAGCCAACTGTTACTGGAGATGATGTTTGCTTTCCTTCCTTTTTCAAAATTGTATTTTATTAATTTTTCTCTGTTGGTAGGAGAGACAGGAGACAGCACTCCCAGCAGGGTCTTGGTGCTGGGGTACACCCTGCCTTAGCCAGCCCTGGATCACGGGCACATTTTATGTTCCACATACTCAGTGGGGCCTCTGGATAAGAATCTGGACGCTTCCCACTCAGTTTTCTCAACCTCACAGACCACGGCAAATTTCTTAATCTCTCTGTCCCTCAGTTTCCTTTCCTGGGCAACAGGACTGACAGCAATAAAGTCCTTCTAAGACCAATGTGACAGTTAAAGAAGAAAATACAAAGCAAAGAGCTTACCTAGCCCTTTTGCCTGTTGAATTGTAAAAGAAGCCAAAGCCTGTGGCCTGGTGGTGAAGGTGGTGGATGCCACATGGTTGACATGTAGCTTGAGTCCAGGACTCTGTGGCTTGAGAAGGTGTGTGCATATGTGTGAACAAAACCTCAGAAGGAGAGAGAGAGAGAGAGAGAGAGAGAGAGGAGAAGGGATTATGGGGGGTGCTGTGTCTCGCTCTCTCTTTTTTCTCTCAGTCAAGCACATACATACTCAGGCAGAACCAAAAAAGAAAAGAAGCAAGAATAAATTATTATTATCGGGGCCAGCAGGTGGCATGGTGGTTAAGGGCACTGGATTCCCACATGGCTGACCATGGTTCAAGTCTTGGACCTGGTGGCTTTCTCTCTCTCTCTCTCTCCCTTCCTCCCTCTCTGGTCAAATTAAAATAAACAGATAAATAAAGTTAAAGAAAAATAATTTAAAAAATGATTGTTATCATTATAGTTAGTTATTCATCAACTGTAAAACTGCTGATAAGATAGGTTCCTCATTTCTCATTCGAAATGCTGGGACCAGAAGTGATTTTTATTTTGATTTTTTTCTTTAGATTTTGAAATGCTGTTTACATAATGCAATATCTTAGGGATGGGACTCAACTCTAACCACGAAATTCAAATATGCTGTATATACCTTATACAAGTGACCTGAAGATAATTTTATACAATATTTTGTTTTGATGGTGAACCATCACATGAGGTCTGGTATAGAATTTTCCACTTGCGGCATCATGTTGACACTCAAACTTTAGAGTATGGGAACTTTTCAGATTTCAGGATTTCAGAGTAGGGATGCTTACCCTGTGCTAATGGAGATTTGAGATACTATATTTAGAATGCTTAGCACATTTCTCCTCTTACACAAGGGACTCTATCAATGGCAGTTATTACCAATATGAAAGGATGGCCCTTCTCCTTAAAAAGTCAAACAAATCAATCTGAATAAAGGCATTTCACTTTAGAGGGGATGGTGGAAATATTTATCGTCATCTATTTGCTGAGTGGGAGTTCATAACAGGATAATAATGAGAAAAAGAGGTCATATGGCTTTCATTTTTTTTTTTAGAGAGAGATTTTTGCTATAGGGCAGGTGCGCACCAGAGAGACAGAGAGAGAGAAAGTGAGAAATCATCCCAGGGAAGAGGGCCATGCCACAGTCCCTTCTCCTCCATTCTCCTCTTGGGATCTTGGGCACACACGCACATGTGCCTTGTGTGAGTTTTAAGCCACCGGGTCCGAGACTTGAACAGCAGTCAAGTATGTGGGAGTCCAGTGATGCAACCATTATGCCATCTGCTGGTCCCCACACTCCTTTCTTCAGTGCGTTAGCTGAAAACGTATTTCTGTGCGCAGACTTGGGCATTTTTGCATTAAGCATACACATATTTGTGGGAGTATAGAAATTCATCCAGGGTAAGTAGCATACCCATTGTCTCATACATGTGTCATTATTTGTGTTAGAAACATTTAAAATCCTCCCTTTTAATTAAAGATGCATAAATTTTAATTAAAGATGCATAAATTATGGCCATGCATATTCTCCCTGCCAAATAGTGCTAGCCTTTGTTCTCCTATCCATGTGCAAGTTTCTTTCTTTCTTTTTTTTTTTTTTGAGAGTTTTTTGCTATAGGGTGTGTGCACTCGCTAGACAGACAGAGAGAAACAGAGAGACAGAAAGCAAGAAATCACCCCCCCCAGGGGGATGTCCATGCCACAATCCCTTCTCCTCCATTCTCCTCTCGGGATCTTGGGGACACACACACATGCACACAGCATGAGTTTAAGCCGCTGGGTCCGGGACTTGAACTGCGGTCAACTATATGGGAGTCCAACGACATAGCGATTACGCCAACTGCTGGTCCCTATGTGCAAGTTTATTTCTGTCACTCAGCATCCTTCTAATCCTTACCGCTCCCAGTCTTTTCAGCCTCCAGCAGTTGACATTCATCCATCTACCTCTGCAAGGCTGCTTTCTCCCATGTCCACATACTGGGGAGAATGTGGCGTTTCCCTTTCTGCACCTGACTTATTTCACTCAATGTGCTTCATGTATTTGTGTGCTGTGCTCACACAGGGGCCACACTGATCTTCTCTGAATCATTCCAATTTCATACACGTGCTCCCAAAAAGCACCTTGAGCAGACCTCACCAAATACATTTAAACTCTTGCTGAAGAGCTTTCACTTCATGCCGTGTCGATAATAACGAGGACAGAACTGGAGTCAGTGGGACTCACAGCAGAAGATGGAAGACAATGCTTGTATCTATCTGGAGAAAAACATTTAAAGGGCTTATTTTTTGAAAAGACCAAAATAGGGAACAGCAGTTGGTGTAATGACTATGTTGCTGGACTCCCATGTAGTCAACTGCAGTTCGAATCTCAGACCCGGCGGCTTAAACTCACGCCAGGTGCATGAGCATGCGTGCCCACGATCCCGAGAGGAGAATGGAGGAGAAGGGATTGCGGTGTGGCCATCGCCCCTTGGGGGTGATTTCTCACTTTCTGTCTCTTTCTCTCTCTCTGTCTTTCTGGTGAGTGCAAGCACCCTATAGCAAAAACCTCTCCAAAAATTAAAAATAAATAAATAAATAAATCGATTTTGAGAACGAAAGACTCAAATTCTGTTTGGACATTGTCCTTTTCCTAAAGTGACTTTTTTATACCTAGAACAAGGTGTAGGACCTGGTAGAACTTCTGAAGTATGAGGCTTTGGAGATGATTCTCCTTTTAGTTCTTTGAAATACTTGATTTTTTGAAAGAATTTATTGTATTTATTATTTTTTAAAATTTGGCCAGAGAGAGAGAGAGAGAGAGAGAGAGAGAGAGAGCAAGTTACCAGGTCTGAGACTTTAATCGCAGTTGGCCGTGTGGGAATCTAGTGCCTTAACCATGTCACCCGCTGGCCCCTGTTCTCCGAAATACTTCTAAAGAAACATTTAAGATTTTCTCATTTTCTATAGAAGACCTCAGTCGATGGAGCTGCTTTAATCAATTCCTTTCGTCTGAATTTCTGCAGCCTTCCTTTTTTGCTCGTTAACATGCACCTCACCACTGCTATTAATGATTAACTTTTCCTGGTAACGGTTTTATGATACCACAAGGAGAGAAAAAAAAAGATCAACATCTTCCTGGGAGAGTCAATCCTGTTAGCTGTGTGTTCATGGAGGGTGATGAGGAAATAACCGTTTTTAGTGGAATAGCACATGCCAGTCGTCAGTTTTCCTTCACCCACATGACCTCATTAGACTGAGGTGCCAGGGTTACATTGAGAGTAGTCTGAAGACTTGGGATCCCAGCGCTCTAAGAGGTCACACTGAGCCCCTCTTCTTCAGTCTGTGAAACAGAGATCACACTGCCTTACCTATCACACAGTTGTCCTGTGCTCCACTGAAGTCGCCCATGAAGCAAAGCTCCGTGAATGGTAAAGTTCCATGTAAATAGAAACCATCCTGTTAAAATAATACCGGAGAACCAGAGGAGCCAGAGGCATTGATCAGTCTGAGTTTGAAGGCCTAGGAAGGGATCCACCAGTGTAAGTCTCAGGTAGAAACAGAAGGCCTGAGAACCTGGGGGCCATGGGTGCAAGTCCCAGAACTCAGAGGCTGGACACCTTGGAGTTCTGACATCCAAAAGTGGGAGAAGATGGGTGTCTCAGCTCAAGTAAAAAGAGACAGAGAGAGAAAAGGAATTTGCTTTTCTTCTGCCTTTTTGTTCTAGGAGGTTCCTTAGGTGATAGGATGATGCTCAATTTCTCTGAGTGAAGGAAAACCTTTGGTCCACTGATTCAAACACTAATGTTGTCCAGAAACACCCCCACAGACACCCCCAGAAATCATTCTCTACCAGCTATCTGGACAACCCTGAACCAACTCAAGTTGACATCTGAAGTGAAGGTGTCACCAGCTACACATGAACCAAGAAGACTCAGATGGAGTGAAGTCTTACAGGACCATGCAGGGCAAAGCTTGGAGGACCACCGTGTGGCTCCCCCACTCCACATTTTACGGGTTTACAGGGGAAGGGATGTGAGTACGCCTCTGTGGTCAACAGGCTTTGTGGCTTTTACTTATATTTTCCACATGAAGATTATTGAACTTGGGATACTATCCCCCACCCTCACCCTCTTTTTTTTTTTTTTTACAAAAAAAAAAAAGATGAGAAATCTTAATAACTAGGTTAAGTTCTGGCAGTCAGAAAAGAGCAGAGCTAGGGGTGGAACTCCAGCCCGGCCACCAGCTAAAGTTGTAGGTGTAAGCTCATGCATCTTGGCCTCCCCAAAACCATGCGAAAATAAGCATTGGCTCTTCAGTTACAGCCCACTAACCCTGTGTGAGTTATATGATCTTAAAGAACCCCAGAGGTCAGGTGGTAGGTTGTGCAGTGATAAAACAAAAGGATGAACATACATGGAAAAGGTTCTGGGTTTGCATCCTGGAACCTCCCTGAAATGCTTGACCTATGTATACAAGCCTGTGGTCTGGGCTGGCTGAGATGAGGGATGGATTGTGGCATGAAGACTCTGTTGGGGGCACTCCATCTCTCTGCCTCTATCTCTATAGCTCATTGAAGAAATAAATAAACTGAAGTTTTTGCTTTATTTTTTAAAGGAAGGGTAGTCTGAGGCCCGGTGGTTAAAGAAGCCAGATACCACAGGACCAACAGTTTGAATCCCAAGCACACCAGCTTGAAGAACACACCTGGTGGGTATGTATGCATGTCCCAAACCTCAAAGGGGTGGAGAAATGAAAACAAGGGGATTGTGGTGTGACCACCTCCCATGTGAGGGTACTCTCTCTCTCTCCCCTTCTCTTTCTCGCTAGCAAGCACACATGCCCTCTGACAAATTAAAAAACAAACCAAAGCAAAATAATGTACCTGAGATAGCTCGCACAAGGGGTTTTACATTGTATGCTGTTCCTGTGATGTGCAAATAAGATAACTTATTATCAGTGCTCTCCAGCCAGAGAGCACTGGGAACAGGGCTGCAGTTAGGCAAGCTGGGCTCAGTTCTCATTGTCATGAGGGAAAACTCAAACAATGGGAAATGGTGGGGGGGCCTCAGTGAGAGAGTGCTAGAAATATTAATAAAAGATGTGGGCTTTTGTCTGATGCTTTTGGAGGGATTTAAGAGACCATGGCTTTGCCTTGCATTAGATCTGTCAGGAAGCTGGGATAATCCGATGAATGCACATCTCCTGAACCTTCTCCGCAGGGAGGGCAGAGTACAGGCTAAAGCTGTAATCTGCCCGGGGCAGCGGCTGGTCCCGTGAGCCAGGACAGCTGTTACTGGGGTACTTGTGGCTTGGGCAGCATTCTTGCTTTGTCTCGCTCCTGCTATGATGAAAGAGGGTCTTGTTCTTATCTAGATCCACCCTGGGTCTTTTCTAATGCTGATATCCTGGGAAACTTTATGTTCACCTTCAATAGAACGCCAAGGCCCAGGGATGGTGCTGGCCAGCTCCTTCTCAGCATAAAAGAATCCGTCCAGGGTGGACTTAGAGGTGTTGGACTCCCAGGGGTTATGAGTGACGGTGCTCATCCACATTGCCACGACTGGGCCTCTCAGCCACAGGGCACAGGTGGTGCATCCTGGAGTCAGTTCCTCAGACTGCCAAGAGCTTTCCTCCCCAGCTTTGGGCATCAGGTTCGAGGCCACTGCCGGGGAGTATTTCAGAAACAGCATGAGGGTGGGGAGGCTGCAAGTTAGAGGACCCACCTGGGACTCTGCCTTTGTCTCCTCAGAGCAGCAAGTGTGTATTGTGTGCCCGGACCTGGGCTAGCTGCTGTAACACCCACCAGCTCTCGGAAAAGTCAGGCAGTTATGCTAAAACGGAGTAGAGCCAGGCCATGGGCTGGGAGGGCCAGCTGCACTCTAAGAGTGGTTTCCACCCCTGTACGTGGGAATCGCCAGGCTGTTCAGATAGGAGTGGCCCGGGTTGCCCCCACTGAGGTAAGCCTCTGGGACTCATGCCCCGTGACACGCTCAACGTCTCCTGGGGGCTAGGTGTGCAGCCAAGTTTGGAAAGCACGTGTTTATCTGAGCAGTGTTAATGATGGGCCGGGGTCACACACAGCCGCTGAGTCAGATGAAGCTGCGGTCCCCAATTCCTGCACTCGCCTTTCCATACAAAAGCTGGCAGAGCAGAAGCAGGTGATGGACTCTGGGAATCTCGTGGGCTCCTGAAGAAAAATCTTCGGATGCTGGAGACTCCAATCCCAACCAAGGTGACAGGAACTCTGTCCCCTCTTAAAGGGCGCTGTCCCTTTGTCTTAGTCCATTCGTGCTGTTGTAACAAAGCACTCGAGATGGAATAATGTACAAAAACTCGTGGAGAGCGAGCCACCAAATCTGAGCTAAATAATGATGCCCTTTAAAGACCAGCAGGGCACAGACGATCCCACTGGGCCGACGCAGCACGACCCGCTGAGGGTCAGGGAAACTGCTTCAGCCAGAGACGGCCACGTGGGGCGCCACAGCGGCATCTGGTAGTGGAAGAAAGACACCTGGCTTTACCTTCCGCGTCTCCTTCCCACTGCCCTATACAAGAATAAGGCTCAGGGCCGGGGCATTCTCCATCAGAGCCTCTGGCTGCCCCAGGCTAGCGTTTCTCTACTTGTTTGTCTGTGTGTGGATTATTCTTTCCAAAATCCACCGTCGCGGGGGTGGGGTAGGGGGGGTCAGTCTCCTCCCCACTTTTTGCCTACCAAGTCTCAGCAAAAAAACACGCATTATTTCTCAGTTCCTGGAGGCTGGGAGGTCGAAAGCTAAGGGAGCAGTCTAGGACCCCTAGTAAGGAGGAGGGACGGAAGCACAAAGAAAACTGAAGTCCCCTACGTGTTCTGGGGGGGACACTAATCCATCCGTGAAGGCGCGCCCTTAGGCAGAAGCGACTCCTCAAGGCCGCACCTGCAGCGCGATTGCATCGGGAGGAAATTTCACTTGGGCTCTGGGCGAGGCGCGAACCTTCAAACCGTAGAACTCTTCAGTTTCCGAGAAGCTCCCGGCATTGCAGAGCTGCGTTCACGCAGACAGGGGCGCCCTGCAGAGTCCAGGTGAGCTGGGCGCCCTGCAGGGAGCTCGCGGGGAGCACCCGCGGTTTCTAGGGGCGCAGGTACAAGGAGGGCTGGGCTG